CATATATGTAAAGATTCTATTGTGTGAGCAAAATACGAATTAAACTAGTTACCCTAATCCATCACAGAAATATTCGGTACAATTTCAGTTTTTCAAACATAAGCAAACAGCTATCGTTTATTGTCAAAAATACAAAATAGTGATAAATGTTGTATAGAACAAAGGCATCTGTAGGCCCTGGCACGCGTGGCCTGTGCCCCGAATCCCTAGTTGATGTTCTGAAAAATGAGAACAGAAAACCATGATCGATATCATATTGAAAAGCCGAAACGTCCCGAGCCCTAAATCTTTTAGGCACTCTGACATAACGTAAAAGAATAAAATACAACAGTACAGTTTTCTTTCTTAAAACTTATCGAGGAAGCACATATAACTTGTAAAAATTAAGTTTCGTTTGTTACCTGATTATGAAATGGTACAATACCGTCAACACTGAAATGAGTATACTACTAACAAACTACGAAAAAAGTAATATTCGAACGAAGGATACCATCCATGAGTGATTCTAAAGATGTATTTGAGTCTCGAGAACTTTTGTTACGTCACACATTGTTAGAAGTACTATCCTTTCTGTCCTTACGTTGATATTATTCTTAAGTGTTCACAGTCATAAAATGCATGGCACAAGTCTTCGGATGCTCGTGCCGTATTAGGAAAGGAATATACTGTAAAAAAACATTCAGATATTATTTGCAAGCTTCATAAGATACTGGGTTGTCAGAGTGTATGAAAGAATTTTGTTGTCGTCTCGGCAAAAAAATGATATATTGAAGAGCAGTTTTTTCCTCTTCTGAGTGAAATAGAAAGACCGGTGAGCTTTCTTCCTCCTTTCGTTCATTTAAGAAACTTTGGCTACGGCTTTAGATTTCGTAGATATTAACTTTTCACCTAATACTACCGTCTATCCTAGCGTAAACATACTGACTTTCTTATTTTCGGCAACATTTACCACCCACTTCAGTCCCTTTCCATATCCTCAAATCCCAAGAGTGCAACGTATACAGATTAAAAATAAAACTCCCGAGAAAATTCTAATTTTTTTGTAGATTGCTGAAATCTCACGAATTTATTACATAAAAATCTTTCGACAATCAAACTCTTTATAGCCAGACATGGCTTAGCGATTAGCGCTCCGGACAATAGAACCGAGGGTTCGTGGTTCACGTGGATTGCTGCAAAGCCGGTAGGGGTTGTAGGTGCGTTATAAGAGTGATGATACAATCTCATTATTCGTTAGACTAGCCAAAGATTTGGCAATAGCTGATGTTGACTAGCTGTCTTTCCTCTAGTCTATCAGTACAAAATTAAAAACGGCTAGCGCAGGTGCTCTGTGCGAATATACGAACAAACAAAAAATGAACGAACGATCTCTTTCTCTCTTTTGGTTAATTATTAAATTTTAAATATATTTCTACTTATTCATTTATAGTGTGTTTATAATTATCCTTATTTTTTATTTGTTGTTGTTGTATAATAAGTTCATATCCTACCCATATTTGTTATTAATAATAACTTCTGAGTGATGGTAAGGAATAGTCTGAAATAACATATCAACTGCGATATGTCTGCTATAGAAAATATCAACGAGCCCTTTTTTACCAAAACCAGTAGTGATCTTTAGGCTGGTTGGGATACGACTTACATACTGGTATAATTGACAGGTGTCCGAAAAGTTCGTGTCCCGACGTAAAACAACTGGAATGTAGGATTTTTTCTGATAAACATTAAGTTTGAATCTTTTTACGAGTAAACAACACGTAACATGTAACTTACCAAGCTTATATCATGTGTTGTGGATTTATGAAGGAAAGAAGTGAGCAGTGTTAAACATCATGGAGAAGATCGTGCCATGATCAGATGTTTTGTTAAAAAGCACAATAACACCACAATAAATCCACCAGAACGTGGAAGCAACAGTAGGAAAGGATGTTCCGTCATATTCAACATGGAAGCAACAATAGGAGAGAATACTCCGGCATAATCAACATGGAAGCAATAATAGGAGAGAATACTCCGGCATAATCAACATGGAAGCAATAATAGGAGAGAATACTCTGGCATATTCAACATGGAAGTAACATTAGGAGAGAACACTCCGGCATATTCAACATGGAAGCAACATTAGGAGAGAATACTCCGGCATATTCAACATGGAAGCAACAATAGGAGAGAATACTCCGGCATATTCAACGTGGAAGCAACAATAGGAAAGGATGTTCCGTCATATTCAACATGGAAGCAACAATAGGAGAGAATACTCCGGCATATTCAACGTGGAAGCAACAATAGGAGAGAACACTCCGGCATATTCAACGTGGAAGCAACATTAGGAGAGAATACTCCGGCATATTCAACATGGAAGCAACATTAAGAGAGAACACTCCGGCATATTCAACGTGGAAGCAACATTAGGAGAGAATACTCCGGTATGTTCAACATGGAAGCAACAATAGGAGAGGATGCACCGGCATATTCAACATAAAGCATAGTTGAACCAGTTTATTTTTTCTTTATAGGTCAGGCCATGAACCTTGACAACAATTGTTACGGTGTGAACTGGGTTATATTACTGAAGTGTAATTTTTTATCAATTTGATCCATGTTACAACATATCAGAATTAATATAAGGATCTTTAATACTAATTTATTTATTTAATTTCACACCATATGTTAGCCACTGTGTAACAAGTTTATGTCTACCTTCATATATATTAACCGAATCTATTTCTACCCATACTTCTTTCTGTTAATCGTTGTGTAACAAATATATATTCACCAACATTTCTGTTAGCCTTTGTGTAAGAAACGATTTATTTATCCTAAACGCTTGTCAATGGCGGATTACGTGAGGACAGGTGAAGCTGCACTTTACTTTAATTATTTGTTTGTCCTCTCATGCCCACAGAGCATTATACAAAATAATGAACAATAAACAAACAGGGCGAATATAAACAGGCGCCAATAAGACGGTCAGATCTGCATCTTGGTCGGAAATAGACTTGTTGCATTACAATCTTCAATTCGTTACTTCCTTATTCTCTCAGGGCCGCTGTGATACACAGTGGTGGAAGAACTGGTGTTTATGCACCCTACACCAGACATTGGCCTGCTGGAGTGTAGGCGTGCTGGTCAAGTACGTAATCAGTCATCTAATTCTAAGGCTCTAGTTGAAAACTCTATGAAAATTTCATGACTTCAGTATGTTTCCTACTACACCAACAAATGTTAGCTGCATATCCACAAGTCCTTACTTTACTCTAACCTCCAACCATTTTAAATCCTCCCTTATTTATCTCCTCAGGCGTCGTTTATTTAAATGCCCTTGTATCTTCCTATTGCTTCATTAATGACCTACCTGCCTTAGTGATATCTAAAGTACTATTAGTATTATGAATATCTTAGACGTTATTAGGATGTAGTATAAAAGTTGCAAAAGCAAAAGTTTTATTATAAAAATAATCATTAGATATTGACCATCTCCGTGTTGCTGAATTAGGTTTACTTTTAGTGACTGATAGTTTTTTTATTTTAAATATCTTCATGTGTTATTATCATTTTTCTTTAGTAATTAAACAAAACTGTTATAGGTTAAAGCTATTTACATAGTTTGAAACAAATTTATAATATAAATACAGCTTCTATTTTAGCATATTTGAAATCCGCCAGAGGGCTGTACGTAGAACGTACATGCCTTTCGAGAAGATAGTACGAAGCTTTGTTGTAGAAACTTAACTGTGTCCGTTCTAGCTGTAATTAAATCTAACAATTCTTGTAGATTTTGACAATATTTTTTAAAAAAAGAATGACTTCTTCAATGTTTCACCAAAACTTCATTCTAAATTATAATATGTAAAACTTGATGCCACTTTCACGTCTTCTAAATAATTTATTTTACTTTTCGTATAAAACCCAGTCTTCATATATAATTCAACATTCATAATAATTTTTTTCAAGCATAGTTAAATTTGTCTTAAAATGCGCTTACAAATAAAATTTGTGCCAATGTTTCAAACTATTATAATTTCATTATTTTTAAGTTAACGATATTCCACCAAATACTCCATTAGATGTCGCTGCCTTTAATATAACCTGTCATTCGAGCTACTACTACCTTAAGAGATATAACAATATCCAGACCTATATGATGGCTATTTTCACAGGAAATAATTTTCTTGTTTTTTGTCTTTTGTGTATGTGTTTGTTTCTTTTTAAAAATAAAATATACAAACATTATTGTTCTAATGTTTGTTTGTTTTTGAATTTCGCGCAAAGCTACACAAGGGCCATCTGTCTTAGCCGTCCCTAATTTAGCAGTGTAAGATTAGAGGGAAAGCAACTAGTCATCACTACCCACCGCCAACTCTTGGGCTACTATTGTACCAACGAATAGTGGGATTGACCGATTGCGAGTCGAGCACCCTAATCACCTGGCCATGCCGGGTCGATCTAGTGTTCAAAACCTTCAGTTCATTTCGTTTTTCAAACGTTCTTCAGACTAACTTGTTCAGTTTCATTTTTCTTAATTTAAAGTTTATGTGAATAACAGTTTGTAATAATTTTTAAAATAATACGCTTTTTTTTCTTCTCTTTTATCCAAACGTTTAGAAAAACGTTGGCCAGAACGGTGGTAAACGCCGCTTGGATTTGAACGTTGAAGCAGCCTGGGCTCAAGGGTATACCGGTAAGAATGTCACAACAGCCATCATGGACGATGGTAAGTAGGAAATCGTTATCTATTTTTTCCATAAGTTGATAACTTCTCAAGGGAATAATGCTCTCTCAGTATCTGTTATAAAGTAATTAATCTAAAAAACAGGATAATCATTTCCATACTGATTATGGCCGTTTTCGAACTTACCATTTTCAAAAGTTAGTATTTTTACAATCCAATAGGGGGCATGATTTGTTTATCTCCTCTTTTTTTTTAAGCCATTCGTATGAAAGATTTATTGTATTTTTAGATGTAGATTAGTTTTACGTGCAATAAAATATTAAACCACGATAAACGTACACTTTATCTTATTTAACTAATATTTCTATAACATGTTTATTCATAATTCATATTCAAATACCTACATCTAATAATTACGAACTGCCTTTTATCGTCATTTTGCAGGTATATCCTTACAGGTCACTTTCTTATGTTAGTTTGTTGGTAATTAAGCACAAAGCTACACAATGGGCTATCTGTGCTCTGCCCATCGCGGGTATCGGAACCCGGATTCTAGCGTTGTAAGTTCGCAGACATACCGCTGTGCCACTGGGGGGCTACTTTCTTACACCACTGTTGTGATGAAAGTGGTTTGTTTAATTGTTAATACGTGAATGTCTTTAAAAAATAATTTACTTCAGAATCAGTTTAAGTACATGCACGTATTTTTTTTTTTTTTTTCAAATATGAACCAGCAAAACTGAAAATCATTGTAGTCCTGAAAATTTATATTATTGTTTATTATCTGGTATTTTTTAACTGATTTGAAAATTCAACTTCAAACACATTGCGCATGAAAATAGATGAGAACTGCTTTTAAATCATGGGTGTTGTTGAAACAGACTAGAATTTTAAACTGTCTTCAACTACCACCAGTCAACAAAAACACCGACTCACTTTCAAGTGCCAAGTTATTACCAGAGTCGGCGACTTAATGAAGCTGCTGAATAGTTTGAGTAGCTCTTGATATTAAGCACAAACTATCACTTTGAAGTACACATTTTAATGCAGTACTTTAACACCTGTTAAGTTTCTTCTAAACAATGTACCATTACTTTTATAATATCATAAGTACATAATTAATATAAGGTCAGGCCGCTGGTTACAAACTTGGCGTGGTAAAATCTCAAACAATGCTTTTAACTGTCCATTGAGCTGATTATTACGTAGCACGTGTAAATTATTATCATTAGTACTTGAATAAATTGGAATATTGCAGTCAGTGTTTCACGTCAAGAGTAAATAGCTTTGTATTTAGTTGATTTGATCCCGGAGTAATAATGAGAACAGGAAACAAATTACAGCGATTTTTGTCTAAGTGTTTGCGTGAAAGCTCTCGTAATTAGGAAAACTTATTTAATTAAACACTAATCGCGACTTAGCTGTTTCACTGAAAAGTATTGTGAGCATCGTTAGCACTCGTGCTTATTACCGCTTTTCAAAACAGAATCAAATAAAGAAGGCGACTTAATTTATGGAAGAAAGGCTTCAGATGGGTTTTGAAACCAATTAGACAAGTATCAACAGCAAAGCCAAGCTTCGCAGTTACCAAGGGCAAAATTGACTAAACAGTATGGATATTTTTGATAACATTTAGGGTAAATAAATGATAGTGATCCATACATACATAGGTTTACGACATTTTCGCTAGAGGAAAATGAATTAGTAAATTTTATGTGGCAGACACATGCTTACAGTATTATATACTTTTTGAATTGTGTAGTCATATACAAAGTATTATATATCTACATATATACATAATTACTGTAATTTCAGAAGTATACAGTTCCATCAGTATTGTACCGAAAAACTATATCCAAACAGAATCCTCCAGGCCAATAGATAATTAGGTTTAAATCTACAACTGTAAAGATGGTGTTCCTAGTGAACTGTTAAGTTTATGTATAAAAGTACTGCATTATACAACAAAAAAAACAATTTAAACAATGTTTATATCCAATATTTTAGGCAGTGCCACCTTATAGAACAATTTGATTTCGAAGTACATTTGTGAGAAAGCCTACCGCAAAATAATCTTCATTTTTCTGAAAATGCACCAGCTGTGAGAAACTTTTATAAACATTTTCTGTAGGAAATGAACTTATTTCTACAACCATATTACCCTAGCGTATACAATTCCCAATTGAAAATATTCTCACTAGCTGTTGCTGACACAAAATACAGTTGTCAAGCTTTATTTTTTCGATATATACATCTGATTGTTTGTTTGTTTTCGAATTTCGCACAAAGCTACACGAGGGCTATCTGCGCTAGCCGTCCCTATTTTAGTAGTGTAAGGCTAGAGGGAAGGCAGCTAGTCATCACCACCCACCTCCAACTCTTGGGCTACTCTTTTACCAACAAATAGTGGGATTGACTGTCAAATTATAACGCCCCCACAGCTGAAAGGGCGAGCATGTTTGGTGGGACGGGGATTCGAACCCGCGACTCTCAGATTGCGAGTCGAGTGCCCTAGTCACCTGGCCATGCCGGGGCCCTAACCACCTGGCCATGCCGGGCCTTTTTACATTTGACGTTATAAAATTTCTCATGGATTTTAATATTATTCGAATTTACAAGAAAGGAACTGTAATGAAAATGTAGGAAATAGACTGAAAAGATGTTGTAACGTGTTGTTCACAATCTATAATAATAAGTTTCGTATACAACTACCTTGTCCCTGGCCATCTGTATGTTCTGCGGCTACGCTATTCTGGTAAGATTACATTATAGCACCTTCCAATACGAAATTCGATTTCGTAATGATATAGGTATGCCAGCCACGAAACTCTAATGTTTCGTAGAAAGAAATATATGTTTTGTTGAACCATATAAGTAAAACAAGGGAAGGCACGGTTTCAGCATAAAGAAAGAAAAATAGCCTTCTCCACGACCGTCTGCCAGTTGCACACTGAAGGCAGCGAAGAAAGTTTAAAAGCTTCTCACCATTAATAACCCAATAATTTATCTGTCCGTTGCGCCTAAAGTAGGAATCTCTCTTGGAACTATAAACATGATAATTCACACAGATTTTGGTCTATAAAAGTGAAACAATAGTCGCTTTCACAAGCTTTTCCTAGAGCACATAGCATAACAAAAGAAAAAAAAAGTAACTGCCAAAAGCTGTAGTATTGATATCTGTCATGTAACATGGAAGTATGTCCTCACATTGGACTAAACGTTGAAAGTATGTCGTCATATAGGACTAAACGTTCAAAGTATGTCGTCATATAGGACTAAACTTTGGAAGAATGTCGTCATATAGGACTAAACTTTGGAAGTATGTCGTCATATAGGACCAAAATTTGGAAGTATGTCGTCACAGAGGATTAAATGTACATCTACTTAAGTGTCTTTTAAAGCCCGAACGGATTGTGATCGTCCTGCTGATATTACAACATTTAAAAATTATACATGATATGTTTGAAAAGTTTTTTGCAATGATTTATGGTAGCTGTAGGTTACGGTTATAATACTAAATTAAATACTCAGATAATCGAGCAAAATCTCAAGATGAATTCTGTATACTATCAATCAAATGTTCTAACGTAACTAAATCGCGGAAAAATACATTTTATCCGCGGCATAGCGGCTCATAGAATGGCTTTGAGTTTTTCAAGTACAAACATTTAGCTCATAACTCCGTCATCTCCTGACCGATATGAGATCTAATTACAGTTTTGAACTCAGGAGGTCAAAACCTTTCGATTGATATATTTGGCCACGCTCAAGGTCTCACAGAATAATTTACTCTAATCCTGTCTAAAAGAATTTCAATTTGAGGGTAGGCTGGTGGAGATCCTGATGAATAATCAGATCAAATCGGGTACACGGGCGCCCCACGCTTGGTATTGCTGGTGCATAAAAATATAGCTAATAAAAAGGAAAAACAAGTGTCATAGATTAATTTACTCTAATTGTGCCTAAAAGAATTTCAAGTGCCGTGGCTATTGAGAATTCCCTCTTCTTTTATATGGTTTAGATAACACTGAGGTACAGATAGCTCCGTCAAGTTAGCATGCTAGTTCTTTTAGTAAAATGCAAGTACAAACAATGATTAATGGTATACCTTTCAAAAACATCTCCCATGCACTTATATGTCTTTGTGTTGTCTGAATTGGCGTTTGGAAGTCTTCATCTGCACACGGTTGGTGGACTTTGGAAAGCCTATAAAGAGGAGATCATTGGCCTCAGTGTATTGTAAGAGCCCTCCTGCGGTGAAAGTAGCGCAACAAAGTAATAATTTCTAACCAGGACCATTACACGGAACACCACTGGTGATGTAAGAAGGAGCTGTAAAGCCTAGGCTTGCATCATGAACATCCTTCGATATGTTTTTTAGGGAAGCCAGCATTAAATAATTTTCTTAAAGAATATGATACAATGTCGTATGAAATGATAACCAGCCATTGAAATTGAGATTGCGAATGCAAGTCTCGAGCACCAGTTAATACCGGAAGATCTCCATTCCCCAAATAATGTTTTTTTTTTTTTTAACATTACATATTCAATGCATTTTTGCGAGACATCAACATAAAAAAATTCATTTTAACTCACCTATGCGGTGCCTCGAAGTAGTCGCTAGTATATTTGTATATAA